TAAAAGCAACCTATGTGCTATATCAGACTATAATCTATCTCTGTGCCAAATTTCATCCAGATCCGTTCAGCCGTTCTGGCGTGAAAGAGTAACAAACATACATCCATCCATCCTCACAAACTTCCGTGTTTATAGGTCATATTAACAAGAAAGTAAGATTGACAATATCAAATGAAGATTTTTTATTGTAATGGCAGTTCACATATCGTTCAAATTAACCTCATTTTAAATCTATAAAAATAAAATTATAACAGTTTTTGTACTCAGAATTTCTTTTAAAGTTGTATTTAAATTGTAATATTATTTTATAATAACGAGTGCCTGCTAATTATGTATCGCCAAAAAAAATATTTTTTATTGAATTAAAATATCATTAGGTAAGCAAATCTGTAGGTACTGGACTAAATAAGGTATTAATACAAGAATCATCTATCTATGGTAGGTATATATAAAAATCAATTGCTATTCATTAGTCTCGCTAAAACTCAAAAACGGTTGGACCGATTTGAATTTTTTTTTGTTTTGTTGGGAGTGTGTCATGGTGGTTTAAGTAATAAAAAAATAGGAAAAAATATAGAGTTAAATATATATAGTTTATCTATTCCATACTAACCGTTAAAACGTACCTATGGACGAACCCAAGCGAAGCGAGAGTGAGTCGCTAGTTTAATATTATAAGAAAGGAAATTGGTTGTAAGACCAATATTTTCTCGAAGAGTGTGTTTTGTACTGGACCACTTTTATATAAGCAGAGACTTTGCCTAGAGATATTTTAGAAATTAATGAAATTAATGTATTTAAACATAAATTGAAGAAATTTCTATTGGGAAAGACGTATTATTCAGTCAAAGACTATATGTTGGATAAGGTGTAATATATAATTTTAAGCAGGTACATAGGTATTGTAATTAACTAGCCAAAAAAGAATGATATAACATACATTACACAGGAAGTTAAACATAACACTGAATAATATGTAATGTATGATAACGTTTGTAATTTTAGGTATATTATAATTATTGAAATATTGCATGCTGTAAGGCTGAATTTGGCTGAACATTAAATATATTATTATCAAAATCTAAATGTATGTACTAACCCAAGTTCGCATTAAAGTGTTTGATTTGATTTGATTTGAAAATTTATAATATATAAATATAGATTAATTGTTTATATCGCAAGATAAATAGCAAATAGCAAAGAAATAATATTTTTCTGTATATTATTCGAGAAGTCATAAACCACAGTACTTTTCCTTAAGATCTATTTCATTTGAAGTTGTGTGGGAAGTGTGGTTAGTGCCTCTTTAACTATTAGCAAAGTTTACGATGCAAGGTATCTAATGACCAGGCTTGGAACTCTGAACACTTGCCAACGAGAAGACCTATAATTTTTTTTAACACTTATGTAGAGATACCATGATTTTGTGAATGTTTGGATGTGTCATACAACATTTAACCACCGGATTCAATTGATTCAAAAATATATTAGAAATTTGATTCAAAATTAATTAATAAGATAGGTTTATGATAGAATATTTTAAATCCATCCACTAATTCTCAAAATATGCACTGAATCAGACAAAAAAAATCTAACTCAAAGAATTCTTCCACAACATTGATATGTTTTTTATTTTATAAATTAGTAATAATAAAGTACATAATAGCTATTTGAAAAAATCTTTCTTTTTCTTTATGGCTTAGAGTTACGTTAACGGACGCAATATATTCTGCCAGTGTCACGTATTGTGAGGAAGACACGAATGAGTTTGAGAGATAATTTTGAAATTTAGCAGCTTTAACATGAAATTATAACTAAGAACAAATCTTAATAAGTAAGGTTTAGATTGACATTTGACACGTAGTTATTTATTCCGCTTTTTTGTCTTTAAAATTATTCGTTTTAGTCTTGTAGATATAATACTTTGATTTTTGTACCACTCTCCCGAAAATAACTTTAAACAAAAACTGACCTATAGTTTGATACCTATACTCGTACAGTATACATATAATAAAATTGTAACTAAGCCGAATCTGTACATTAAATATTTTCTGGAAAATCTTATTGAAATAATCATTATTACCAGTACAGAGGCTGAGTCTAAAGTTTTTAAATTTTTTGTTTATCTGTCTGTCTGGGAATGCATCACGAGAAAACCACTGGACAGATTTTGATGAAATTTGGTATGATGATAGCGGGTTATACGGGTAAACATATAGGATACTTTTTACTGCGGGACATTATCTCATCTATGAGAAATGTATACTAAACGTTTAGACGTAACTAGGGACGAACCCAAGCGGAGCGAGGGTGAGTCGCTAGACTATATATGAAAATAGTCAAAGACAAAAGACTTCAGTACCTTTTTCTCGTCTGTTTATCGGCCGATTTTCTTTTTTTTTGTTATCAATAAAAAAAATTGGAAACAGTAACTTTTTTATATGGAAAAGTAAATTCTATTCATATGTTTTCCTCAAATTTTCAATAATGATTATGGTCGATTTTCAACCACTCGATGACTACTAGTTAAAGTAAAAAGTTGAATGACCTAGACCACCTACATAATATGTTTTATCACTAATTGCATTTTAAATACAATGCCATTGCCAGTACGTTACTTAATAATGCCTTTAGAAGAAACATGAAAAATTATGATTCTTCGAGTTTTTTATGTGAAGAAAAAACGGTATGTAGCAGTGACTTTGAATAATTAGAAAAACTTGAGTGATGATTGATGACTTAATGCAAAATCTTATTAAAAAATATTTATACCTACCTATTATATAAAGTAAATTAATTTAGATTTATTTTATTGCTTATGTTTTATCTCCATTCTATATGACATTGGCGAATTAATCTGAGAAAGTATTAACACGAGCATTGAATGGCTTATGTCATTCACACATCTTTATCGAAATATTCTTAGATCATTTTCTTTAATGAATTTATACCATCATACTAAATAATTATCCTTATACGGAATTTATAACATAGAGGACACAAAAAATTGACCACCCGAAAAACATTATCTAGTTGGGAAAAAAAATCTCTTAAACGTGTTAATTTTTCGTGTCGTCTTTAGTTTTATTAGCCTAATGGCCACCCTAAACACACGCAAACGTTGTAAAAGACCACAGCCAAAAATTTTTTTGCTTTCTCAACAAAATTGCCGCTCTCCGACCTATTTTCTAAATGTTCACTAGAACGATGCTGGAATTTAAACTTTTCACTTCAAGAATTGCAATAAAATTGTCAAATTGTAGAAACTCCTTTTCAGTTAAAATTAGGTTAGTTAGATACTACTTATACTACTGCAGATATATATTTGCTGGGAAAATGCTGTTATGCCAAAAGCAAAGAGCTAGATACGAGTATGTAGTTTATTTCTGCTTTTATCTACTAAAATTTAGTTGAGCTTTAAATTTCTTAGGATCTGCAGATAAAGAAATATAACTGCAGTATGCAAGATAGTAAAAATCTGCCTTCTTAAAATCGATCAAGTTGTTCTTATTCTATTTTCTCTTTATCCCGTAGGAACATTTTTGTTTTTCTGGATAAAACTATCACTTGTCACTTAAGAACTATAATTAAATAAATATGTTGAGACATTAACACGCAGCACCATCTAGTTCCATGGTAAGCTACAAGGCCTGTGTTATAGATACACTATACATATATAACTTTAACTACATACATATTATAAATATAAACACCCATGACTGAAGTACAAACATTCGTGCTCATCACACAAATGAATGCCCTCAGCGGGACTCGAACCCACGATCGCTGGCAAACTGAGCCAATCGTGTCTTCAATTTAGGGAAAGATTATTCAGAAATAAAATCAGTTGCCGTGCTTACAGTGTATCCAAAGTCATAAAGCTCTATCTTATACTTATAATATAAAGAGGCAGAGTTTGTTTGTTTGAACACACTAATCTCAGGAACTACTAATCCGATTTGAAAAATTCTTTTTTGCATTAGATAGCCCGTTTATTGAGGAAGACTATAGGCTATATATCATATAATATATAGTCTATCTACTCGATACTAACCGTTAACACATACCTGACGAACCCGAGCGAAGCGAATGTGAGTCCTTTATATTAAGGTAGAAATAGATTTTAAATCTTTCTAGCGTGTTTCTCAGCTAGTTGCAATTTAATGTTAAGCCTCTCGATGAAATTTCGCACAGAACAGTCAAAAATACGTTTATCATGAAAAGAGACATCGGTCCCATAGGACAACACGAAATACCTTTCCCGCCCACAAGACTATCAAAATCAATCATAATAAAGTTTACATAGGATTATTTTTATAGCAAGACTAGCAGAACCAGCGGCTATGCCCGTGTTCGATCAACAAAAAAACTTTTTGGCTTTATGTTATCATCCCCTATTTTACCCTCTTAGGGGTTGAATTTTAGAAAACGCTGAAAAACGTAACTCGTTATTTTAATCGTAATCAATTCATAAGAAATTTCATGCAAATATGTCCAAGGAATAAAAAGTTTCATACACTTTTATCCCCTATTTCACCCCCTTGGGGGTTGAATTTTGAAAAATCCTTCCTTAGTGGATGCCTTCGTCATATGAGGAATACGTGTGTGAAATTTCAATTTTCTAGCCTTAAGGGTTTGGCCTGTGCGTTGATACATCAGTCAATCACTTTTGCCTCTTATATACATATATAGATAGGTTATAATCGTAGTTAATTTGGAAAAGGATTCTACGTTGTTATACTAATAAAGTAAGATCGTTGTGAGTTAATGAGTTAAATGGTTTTTTTTCTAACCTAATAAAAAAAAAACTTAGTGCATTTCCTAAATTTAAAAAAATAAATGCTTAGTAGCTAAATGGCAAGACGGTCCTTCTATAAAATCGTAATGCCTTACAGTCTGTCTGTCTGTATTACTCGGATATTTTGGATTCAAAAACTAGATTTGTATGAGTTAAAATCAAGTAAATGTCCATATATGTAATCTAACGATGCATTTTACAGCAAGTGACGGCGAAAGTGCTATTCGGGAGCGTGACGGCGATCAATGACCTCAAGCAGCAGAAGACGAGCAAGCGGATGCACTAGCGCCATCTTGTGGCAAAGTAAGTAAGCTTTGTTTGATGTAGTTTTAGAGTATGACGATAGATGTCGCTAATAAATTTTATGTTTATATTTTTTTATTGTTTTGTTTTAAATGATATCATTATTTTAATTGTAACAAATATAATAATAAAATGACACTTTATAACATTAAAAACATTACTTATCAAAATTAATTATATATATTATTTCTTTTGATTTCGCTATTACTTTTAATATTAGACAGGTATAATAGATGGCGCTGCGTGGAACATTTAATATTTTTATTGAATAACCTAGAGACTCACCCACGCTCCGCTCGGGTTTGCCCCTAGTTAAGTTTTAACGTTTAGTAAAGATTTCTCAGAACTTAGATATTTTCCCGCAGTAAAAAGTATCCTATATGTTGACCCAGATAACCAGCTATCTATCATCATACAAAATTTCATCAAATTATGTCCAGCAGTTTTCTCGTGATACGTTCCACAGACAGACTGACAGATAGATAAAAATTCCTACTATAGATTCGGCCTCGGCCTCTGTATCGATATTGAGGACTATTTCAATAAGATTTTCCAAAAAATATTTAATGTACAGACTCGACTCAGTTAGAATTTTATTACATGCATAGAAGAAGATATAAATGATAATATTATTACCAAGTTATGTACACAAAATAAAAATTAAAAAAAATTTACAAAAATGAACATGTAAATTTCTGCGTATTTTCAGTTTAAATTAATTGTGTTAGCACAAATAAATATAGCAGTTTCTGAAAACTATTGATTAAATTAATATGCCTCCCATAAAAAAAATATTTATTCATACCTATGTATGTATGTATTCAGCCCTTTTTAACGTCCCACTGCTGGGCATGGGCCTCCCTTCAATACGTGGGGATCAGGCCATAGTCCACCACGCTGGCCAAGTGCGGGTTGGCGGACTTCACATGTCATTCGAAAACTATTATTCATACCTATTTTTCAATTATTTCAGATAACGATTGTGATAAGAAGACATAATGGAAGCTAAGGTGTGATCTCGGAAGACAGAGTTTTATTGTTCATAAATATATCTTATTTTTGTAATATTTTTTTAGACTTAGTTCAAATACTCGAATATTGTGGATAAAATTAATAAATAATTATATAAGTTATTGCATATTTTATTTTTTAACATGTTTCTTTATACATATGTAAGTACATATTATGAGCATTTAGCATATAAAGTATCAGCAGAACCCGCGGCTTCGCTCGCGCTAAAACTGAGTAAAATGGTAGTTTCATACAAACTTTCATCCTCTATTACCTTATATTGGGGTAACCCCTTATATGATTAAATTCGAAATATGCTAAAACAAGTATTTATTTAATTTTATAGAAAAGCATTAATACCAAGTTTCAAGTAATTCTGATTTTAAATATTTTTTGATTGTATTATAAGGTGTTTTCCCGTGGGAATTAGGTAAAAAGTAGCCTATGTCACTCTCCAGTCCTCCAACTATCTTCACACAAAAAATCACGCCCATCCGTCACTCCGTTTTGACGTGAAAGAAGGACAAACAAACAAAAAAACAAACACACTTTCATATTTATAATATTATAAGTATGTATGATGGATGATATTTGCAAAAGACCAGAATGTTAGAATTAGCCTTTTAGCCATTTTAATATTTAGTTATTTTAGTTATTTTGTTTTGACAATTTTATTGCATACAAGCAACTTACCCTCGCTTTACCCGGGTACGTCCCTGGCCGTCTATACTCCTTCAGATCATAGTGTATAGATGAAATTAATTTCATCCAAATCTGTAAAGCCATTTCTGCTTGAAGGATTACAAAACATACATACATACAAACTTTCACATAATATATAATAATTATCCGATTTAAATGATTATTTATATATAAATAAAACGAAAAACGATAGAAATATTATTTATTGAGATCCGCTGTAAGAGATTACACATTCTACGATGAAACTATCATAAACCCAGAAACCATGTCTTTAAAATTTAAGTTTCAAGGTCCATTGCAATTACGTGCTGTGCATGGTTACAATGATGGCATACGTAATACGGCCCTAGCCTCAATTAAAGTGATGTATGACGACGCATATCAAACTAATATGACGTCATTTAGAAAAAAAAGGCTGATAATATCCGCCGACACAACCCCCCCCCCTCCCCCACGTGCCTTCACCTTGTCGTGGTGGAGGGGCTCAGTAGTGCCCGGCAATACAGCCGGGCGCGAAGCTAAGAAACGCACAGGGAGGTGGCCCACTTCGATGGGCGGTGAGAGGTGGCCCTCTTCGGAGGGCGGTGTACCATGCGGGTTGCTCCTGGTACTTCTCTGATAGCAGAGTGGACCTTGGAGCAACCCCGTGGTTGTTGTGGTCTTCTTCGGAATACCTGCCGTCGGGGCGTCGTAGTTGAATGCGTAAGCGATCCTGCGACGCCCCATTAAGACGGGGGAAGGCTTTGTTAGGTTTTAGTGGGTAGTACTGGCTTCGCCGGTGAGTCCCACACTTCGTGCGTAAATGCATTTCCCAACGTTAAAAAAAAAGTATTATCCCCCATAGATGTTCACCTGATGTCGTATGGTGTTGCGGTTATGAGCATCCGGCAATCCTGCCAGATGAAGCGAAAAAACGCACTGGGAGACGATAGATTGCTAAAAAAAACTGGATTTGTTCTATTTCTCTTCTTACATCCTCCTGACTCGGTTTTTAGCATTTTTTTCTATGTAAAGACATTCGACCTTTACAGTTTTATTATATTATGTATGGATATAAAAATTCTAAAAGGAAACACATGGACGACTTCCAAGTACACAAAACAAAATCTATATCCGTAAAACTATTAAGGAGGAGAAATATTAAAAACACGCGTACAACAAAATTTTTGTACAAAGGTGTAGCCTTTTTGCGTAGGGAAAAAACTTCTTGATCTTACGCTTTCGTAAATTATGGATGCTGTGGGTCAATGACCTAAAATCCTAATCAATGACGATAAAACTTCTTTTCCTCTCATTGCCTCTTAATTTTGAGTTTTATTTGTACATCCTTACCAACATACAAATTCAAAATATTTTACTCAGCATTAACACCTCCAGGTAAAATTTCTAAGAAAATAATTAAACTTCTAAGAAATTTATTGTTAACTGTAGCGCCGGCGTGTCCGCGGTCGTGGAGGGATTAAACTATCACATTTTTTTTACTGAACGTCATAAGTTTACCATCAGTTCGCGAAAAAACTCTCAGTTGTGAGAAGAATTGGTGAAATAAACACAGCTATATAAATACAATTAAGTGGCATAATTTTTTAACTAAGAATAGTTTAAATACTGAAATAAAACAAGTCCTGGAATATAAATTCGTCCTGGAATATAAATTCCCATTGGATATTAATTATCCCGTTTCAAACAGTTACATAAAAACTAGTGATTAACCTCATAAGATTACGATTTAGTGTAGACCCAGACCACAGTTATCAGTAACAAAATATTTTTTCATGCACACTACACAACTCATCTACATATAAATAGGCAAAGACAAACCATTTCAGTACCTTTTTCTCCTGTTTGTTGACCAATTTTCTTTTTTTTTTTTGTTTGGTAACTATTGACGAGCTTTAGTGTTACCAGTAAAAAATTGTTTATAGTCCAATTTCGAGCACAAGTAGTAATAGCACGGTAATATTACATATATATTACCGTGGTAATATTTGATCGTTTAAAGTTGTTTGTTTAGAGTCGTGATCGAGGACTCGAGATGGGTATAAAAACCTTTTTAACAAAGAATAAAATTAGGTATCTATTCTAAATGAAAACCTCCGTTTAGTTATTTTTACATTTTAGTGCCTGGAAGTTGTTTTTTTTTAAGTTTTTATTTTTCCATTTTTAGTGTAGATGTAATAAGCAGGTAATTTGAAATAAGAAAGTTCTTTAATAACATATTAATGAATGCTCTCAGCGGGACTCGAACCCGCGACCGCTGGTACAGCAAGTAGGGTCATTACAAACTGAGCCAAACGAATATTCATACATGACAAATGTTAGATAAAACTTCTTTCCAGACTTTTGCCCTGATTTTAAATATTTGATATAGTTTTTACATTTTCGATAGACTTTTGGTTTTAAATTCAAAAACAGAACCATAGAAAAGTGCTAGTATTTACAACAATAAATAAGTCCCCTTAATATCTGCTTAATAATTCTTATGTCATTTCCATTTCGTCGTATCAACAATAATAAATTGCGCTAAGTATCACATACTATATTTGTTATAATATTGTATTTTGTTGGTATGTTTGTCATTATATTATAATGTGAAAACTAAGATTGGATGGATTAGGAAAAATTAAGGAAACTGACTCAGTCTCTACAGCAGGTTTCTTTATGAGTTATATAGAAGAGTATTATAACATTAGCTTAATCTAATTTTAAAAATTAATACCTGTTCCAACATTATAGGTTCCAGCTCTAATCTCTTTCTTCTTCCGCTCTCCTATTTTCTTCTTTTTCTCTTTCAAATACCGCCTGGTTGTGACACAGAAGCACACACAGTTCAAGCAGCTTCACTTACTTCTTACGATCAGGCAAATCTTGTACTTGCTGACCAACTTTGTGATAATTTAAAAAAAAACAACAAAAGAACGGTTAACAAAGTTTCTATCAAAGTACAATAACCGATCATAATATGTAATTGCAGAAATACGAAAATTCCTATGACTCCTGTCTTCTTTATAAACCTCCAGCAGGTCTTGTCTTCTTTGAAAAAAGCGTAGCTAAGCGACTTCTCATGTCTATAAATGATATTCTTAAATAAGTATACAGATAAACAAAGATTTCAGTAACCTGGAGTATATGTATCATTAACTTAAACATATTTTTCCAACAAATATATAGTGTACTCTAATCCTTATAATTTTATTAAAACTATTATTATATTGTATTTACATTTATATGTAACAAAATATTATAAAGTATGCAATAAAATCATTCGGCATTTTGGCGTTTTTGTCATTTCTATCGTCCTCCATTTCCCTATACACGTGTTTTGCCTTGTGTCAGTTTACTCGTATATGTATCAAGAAAATTTTATTTATAACTTGTTTTAGACACAGTCAAAGATATCCGTTGCGAATGCGTTTTTGGTGGACATAAAAATTTGGGATCTATCAATTTTATTAAATGAGCCCAAATCCCAAGAATTATTAGTGCATAGGTCGTTAATAAAGCATTCCACCATCCAACAACAACCAAGACTCAAGGTTTCATCATCAGATCACGTTGATGGTGTCAAGTCATTGTATTATCGTCCAGATTTCACTTATATAAAACATTAAAAAAATATTAGAATTATGTTAAAATCGACATCGATGATTTGAGTACATAATTTCAGGTGAAACTAATAAAAGTGTAAACAACCCCAAACTTATTGAGCAATCACGTACAAAATATACATAAAATCACTTTTACCAACTATGTACTTAGCACATAATAAAAAAAACGTGTGTGTGTACTTATGTACGCACATAAGAAGTATACTTCTTTGGCGTAACAGAATAAAAATAGCTAAAGATTTCATTCCGTATGTCACAACTCTCTGTTTGTAAAAGGAAAGATAAATTAATAAAATAATGAAATAAGGCATATTACAATCATATATTTATAGAATATAATTTTAAGGAAAGAATATAATATTATATATCATTTGTCAGACAATAACAACGGTTACCATGGCAACAAACAAACTTCATCATGTCGCTTTTTGGCTGTCAGTATGCATCGTAAAAATTTTACTCTCATTTGTTTTCCAAAAGTCCCAAAAGAAGTATAACTTCAAAAAGAAACATAATGTCATTTGTTCTTCTGTTGTTATTTCTATTGTTTCTATGAAATACTTACCTGTTTCAGAACAAGTATTTTTGGCTAAAATGAACATTTTAAACCATATTTTTTTATACACGCATGCAAACCGACTGGCAGACAGTAGTCTTACTAAAATAATATCTACCTACCCGATAACTTAAACGAGAGGATATAAATTTTGTCGCAATCACACGACCGGACCGCAATGACACAAAAAATGTGAAAAAAATAATACAATGGTAATAATTGTGTTTTTTGTCCCGCGGTCTTTCACCGGACCTCGACCGCTTAGACGACTCTGAGAATGGACACCTAACGATTGAGCCTTTGGCGATGGGGCTCTGTCACACCGTTGTCAACATCTTCTTGTATATATGTATATATTTTTTTAAATTTATACTGAATAGGTTAAAATTGTATAAAAAGTATTGTTTTTTTCATTTTTAACTCTAATTTTTTAGATATGAAATCAATTAAATATAATTGATTTTGAAGTTTAAGAATACTGATTACTTCATAATATATTAGAATGGCAATAAAACAAATATAGCTATAATACGATGCTTCAAATACTTATTTACTTTTATTACGACAGACTAATACACCTGCGGTTTCACTTGTGTTTCATTTAGATAAAAAATGCCTATTACATTTGAGGATGACGTAGCTTTCTATCAGTGAATCAATGCTTTCAGAGATTATCATATCGTACAAAAAAAATTGTTTTAAACCTTCTTGAAAAACGTTTTAATTTATACTTGATCCCAGATCATGTATAAATTAAACTGTTTCCTTCATAATCAATAATAGAGTATCTAAGCATGCAGGATTTTTTACAAAAAAATATTCCAGAGCTTTTACAAAACACCGGTGTAACAGACGACCAAGAAAGCTAATTTCGCTGCAAAACAAGCAACAGCCGAGATCATCGTTCGACGCGAGGTCTCCTAACTGTAAAGTCCATTATGTAACTAGTTCCATCTCGCCCGCCCGCCCCATACCACGCGAATATACTAAACAACCCTATAAATGACTATATAAAATATAAAACCCAAAACCTAAACCTGTTAAGGGACCCGTGACTTTGATTTCGCATCAGTTTGACTCAGGTGCTAAGTTTTGACGATACATTTTTGAGTTTAAAAGAAAATTCAGAAATACTGTTTTTGTGTTAGGATGTTAGGATAATTGGATCGTAATGGATTTCAGGTTAGTGAATTTTATATTTAATTTGAATATTAAGGGACTATTGTACAGTCATTAGATAAAAGTAAATATTTTTTTTCCTTATTATTGGATCCTTAAGGTTCCTCAAATTAATATAAAAGTCTTTAAAGTTAAAGACAGCGTAAACTTAGCAGTACAATCCCGTTTCAATCTAACAATAATAAAAAACCAGTTTTGAAATATTATTTATAGAGATATATGAAACATAACTGTTCAATTAATGAAGTTCCGCAAAAATGGAAATAAACCTCATTAGCTTTTGCGGTATATGATAATGTTATAGTTTTAAATAAAAAATTACACTTTAAAATGTAAATTTATGCGAACAATATAGCTCTATTCAACATATTGATGCAACTCGAAGCGGTAATTGAGTATTATATCATACTTTTTATTTAAAGAAAATAATTTCATATGACATATAAAAAAGATTTAAATGATTTTTTTTATAAATAATTATCTGCTTGCATTTTTATACCAGAACCGGTCTTTTCTTCAAACTCAACGCAATCTTACTAGTTACCATTTCTAAACTTATTATTTGTAAAATCTAAACATAATTAGAAGTAAGACGAAAAAGATAAGAAATTTAAAAAAATATTTACAAACCCAAGCCTTTAAAATTCTTTCAAGTCTATGTTGATTTTTATACTGTTACAGGTATAACTTCGTAATTCCTTTACTGGCTATCTTCATATTAATCATCGATGGGAGGTCCACTGATAAGGAACCTAAAGTAGAAAATACAACTCATAATTGCCCATTTACAAAAATTATTGAAGATATCTTCAAAATTAACAACCAAAGCTCAATTAATACTATGAAAGACAACACCGTAAATGATACAAATGACTTTATGTATAAAAATCACAATATAAGTAAAACTATACAAGATGAATTGGTAAATGATATAATTGCTTCAATTAAAAGAATTAAAGCAAATCTTACATATTCAGAAAATCATTCGTTAAATGAAGCCATTATACTTAACGTACCAAATGGTGAAACTGATAAACCGCCTTTAAAAAAAGTGAATCAACTAAAAAGTGGCATAGAGGATAAAGTAGATATGCTCTTGTCTGTTCCAAAAGAGAAAAATAGTAATACGAACAATATTTCTAAGAAACCAACGTTAATAAGTAATTCAGATACAACGAAATACGTGGAAGTGTTGACTATTGAGCCTAATAATACTAGTATAAATAACTCGACTTCACAAACTATATTAGAAGTCTTAAAAAATATAATGCCTGCGCTAAACACATCTATCAACAAGGACGTACACAGTATAACAATTATTGAAAAAAATCAAAACAAAAATCACTCGTACACCGAAACAAAGAACATTTCGAAAATTATTGTAAAATATTGTGATAAAGATAACGTAACAGAAACAAATGGAGATGAAGTAAAAAATTATGAGAACCTCAAATCAGCTTTACCGAACAGTTCATTGAATGAAGATGATTACGAAATAGACGATGAGACAGATTATGGAGAAAGTGATGAAGAAGTGATCCCAAGTAATGCTACAGAAGCTACTAAAGATGTTCTGGAGGCAGCTGAGTATGGATTGCAGAAGATGCACGAGCTCTATGGGGTTTTAGAACCTAAGTTATATTCTATGGGTAAGTGTTCACTTAAGTATATTTTAGAAGAAACAAAAATTATAATTTAAAAAATTTCAAAGCATAAGCAAAGCCCAGTTAGATGTGCTCGTACCTAAGTGACGTTGTGTCGCCATTTTTTATGATTAAAACGAACATTGTACACTTTATTTTTATTATTTGTCCTATAATTCAATAGTATTTGAAATTCAATTCAAATTGAATGATATTATTAGATTTTTCGCTATAAAAGTATCTTATTGTACTTTACGGCCGTATAACTTCAAACTTGTATTACCTCTATAAGAAAAATTATGAAATAACCAAGCAAGAAACACACTTTACATGTATTACTAAGGCACTCGTAATACGTGTATGACACGTTTGGCTCAATTTGTAGTGACCCTACTTGTTGTGCCAACGGTCTCAGGTTCGAGTCCCGCTGGAAGCGTTCATTTGTGTGATGAGCACGAATCCTTGTACTCCAGTCATGGGTGTTTATATTTATCATAAGTGTGTATTTAAAGTTATATATGTATAGTGTATCAACTATCTGGTATACATAACACAAGCCTCGTATTACCATGGAATTAGATGGTGTTGTGTGTTAATGTCCCAACAATATATATTATTTATTTATTTTTATAGGACTCATGCTCAATGAGAAGGATCCAGCCCGCTACGTAGCTGCTTTCAATGCACCCTCAGAAGACGTAACCAGATATTCCCGATATGGATACGCTTCCCTACAAGCAGCTTCTAGGCTTCGACAACTCATTAGGTAAGTATTTTAAATTTATGGAGCGACTACCTTTTTTTAAATATTAAAAAAAACAACTAGTTATATAAAATAAATTGTCAAAAAGACTTATCCTTAGAGATTTATTGCCAATCGTTACGAATTGGTGTATACCTTGAAACTTAACATTTATAACTTATTAAAAAAAATACCAAATTGTTTTTAATTTTCAAACAACAACCTTCATAACCACTTCCTTGGTGATTCACTTGTCGTTAGTAGTTGAGGTACCAAAATATAGACTCAGCCCAAAATGTAAACAAATTCAAGAATATGTTGGACATTAGACAATCTTTTTCTGAACTGCAAAAGAAGAAAATAATGTACACAAGCAGGATATAGGTATTACTATTTATCTCATAAACCCTTTTAATAATTTACATATTAATAGTATTGAACTTATATGGCAACTAGCGATTCACCCTCGCTCCGCTGACGTTGTGCTACGCCAGTATCCTATATAATTATCCGGATAACCAGCTATCATTATCCCTCCAGTGGTTTTCCGTGATGCGCTCACAGACAGACAGATAGACAGACAGACAGAAAAAAATTTAAAAACTGTAGATTAGGCCTCTGTATCGATAATAATGTCTATTTCAATAAGATTTTTCAAAAATATTTAAAGTACAGATTCGGCTCGGTTTGAATTTTATTAAATGTATAGAAAATATTCTCCAAAGGAATATTCGCTATTTTTTTTAATAAGAGGTGAAGTAAAGGGAGAAGAGGTTTCCAATTCGGTATTGGTTTAAAGGAAATACTTTAAAATCTTATTCCCATTATAAAATGTTCAAAAACTTAAAGCTGCATGGAATGAAGCTCCCATAAATAAGAGGCTTTACTACCAAAATCGTATATTAAAATGTACATATCGTAAATTATAGCAGGTTTCCTCATATATTTGACCCTACTTGCTGTCGCGGGTTCGAGTCGCGCTGAGGGCATTAATGTGAATGATGAGCAGGAATGCTTGTGTTCCAGTCATCGGTGTTCATATTTGTGATATGTATGTATTTATAGTTATATATGTGTAGTGTATCAACTATCTGGTATCCATAACACAAGCCTCGTAGCTTACCATGGAACTAGATGGCGCTGTGTGTTAATGTCCCAACATATTTATCTCTATATATGGATACAGACTATTAACATATTTTACAAATTATATTTCTGTAATAAAATTCTCAGGATGTGCCTATAATTAAAAAGGCAGGACGTAGGACAGGAAACTACAATCACTAAGTCTTAAAGGATGGCCTTATATTGGTCATGGGTACTTTGAGCATCAAATGTTATGTTGAAATAGATCAAAGGTTCAAATATTAATTTGGAAATAAATTATTATGGTAAATTTACTCAGATGTAATAAAATTATTAGATTACTAGCAGAGCCCGCGGCTGCGCTCGCGCTAAAACTATAAAAAAGACTAAAAAGGTAGGTTTCATACAAACTTTCATGCCCTATTTTATCCTCTTATGGGATGAATTTCGAAAAATGCTAAAACACATATTTAATTTAATTTTAATTAATACCAAGTTTCAAGTAATTCTGTTCATAAATATTTTTTGGGTTGCTTATAATGTGTTTTCCCGTGGGAATGAGATGGTCTCCCGCGATAAAAGTAGCCTATGTCACTCTGCAGCTTTTCAACTATCTCCACGCCAAAAATCACGCTAATCCGTCACTCCATTTCGACGTGAAAGAAAGACAAACAAACAATCAATCAAACAAACACACTTTCACATTTATATTATTAAATAGTATGGAAGTGTGGATATATTATATTAATTATATCATGAGTTATGTGTCATTAAGTTAATGTCTTTAACATTAACTTAATGATACACAAGTCATAACTTAAGCATGAAAAATATAAACTCAAGAGTTCCTTATATAAGGAAGGTGAGCATTAAGTGAGAAGTTTTAAAATTTTTCCTCTAAAGTTTTTGAAGGATTTTGATGTTGTCAAGATATTATGAATAAACTAGCGACTCACCCTCGTTCCGCTCGGGTTTGCCCCTAGTAAAACAAAACAAATCTATCCCACTGGAACCGTATATTTTTTCGGGATAAAAAGTAGCCTACGTGTTATTCTTATGTATGAGCTATATTATTGTTAAGTTTCATTAAAATCCATTCAGTAGTTTTTGCGTGAAATAGTCCATACATCTATCTATCTATACATACAGATAACCTGTCATCCATACAGCCTCACAAACTTTCGCATTTATAATATGAGTAGGATGAATAGTAAAAAAAAATATAATAATAAAAATAAGTAAAAAAATATTTTTAAAACAAGCTTTTATTTTATTTCTTATCACAAGTTATGCTATGGGTGCATTTTTCAAGTCAACTGAATCAAAAGCGTAGGTATAAAAAATTTCGTATCTCTGTTATTTACTGCTGAGGAGATCTCTCATACCCTGGATGGTTTAAAAAATTTAAATATGTTGGGACATTAACACACAGCACCATCTAGTTCCATGGTAAGCTTGTGTTATGGGTACCAGATAGTTGATACACTACACATATTATATAACTTTAGATACATACAATATATGTACATATTATAAATATAAACACCCATGGCTGGAGTACAAACATTCGTGCTCATCACACAAATGAATGCCCCCAGCGGGACTCGAACCCGCGACCGCTGGCACAGTAAGTAGGGTAACTGCAAACTGAGCCAAACGTGTCGTCAATCATTAATTACCTATACAAAATTTTCAATTTCATTGACAGGTAAGCGATCGACATTTGACTAATTAGATATATTTATTTTATCTTTAAATTGAGATCAGCATCAACAAGGTACACTAGGGAAAATGTTTCTTTTCTATTAAAATAATTACAATGTTATGTTGTCGAGTATCTATCACGATCTGTAATTTAAACCGGCCACGGCATGTGGGTTGCTACTGCAAAGCTGCTGTATTGATTGAATATATGTAGCTATTAACGATGCATAAATACTACTTTATAGATAATATAGAAACTAGCATTTTCCGCGGCTCCGCCCGCGTTCAGATGACCAAAAACCAAATTCTAAGGTTTTACAGATTAGTATACTTTTACATTGCAGTTTTTGCATTTTTCTTAGAAATGAGATATTTTCCCGTGGTAAAAAGTATGCTATATACCCGGATAACCAGTAATCACCATACTAAATTTCATCAAAATCTCTCCAGTGGTTTTTCTGTGATGCGGTAACAGACAAACAGACAGACAGACAAAAATTCTAAAAGCTACAGATTCGGCGTCTGTATCGATAATAATGTTTATTTCAATAAGATTTTCCAAAAAATATTTAATGTACAACAGATTCGGCTTAGTTACAATTTTATTATATGTATAGGAAAGTATAGATTAGAGATTTTTGATATGAAAATTTTACCGACAATATGCAAAACAAATCTGACTCATAAAAAGGTTTCATTAATTAAAAACTTTAATTTTACACTAAATATAAAAGATAAATTTAATAATTTTAGTTGTTTTCTACACTAAGTCCGAACAATAGTTCGAATTGCACAAATATAATAAAAAAACGGTCAAATGCGAATCGGACTCATACACGAAGGCACAAAATAAATATATAGTGGATACGAAACGATTGTTTTTAATTTGCATGGCGGCCATTTTGAAATTCGCCATCTTAATTTTTTATTATTTATTATTATTGCGACGATAGAAATACATACTCTGTGAAAATTTCAACTGTCTACCTATTACTGTTCATGAGATACAGCGTGCTGACAGACAGACAGACGGACAGAGTAGACTTAGAAATAGAATCCCGTTAGCACTCTTACGGTACGGAACCCTAAAAAATAACATTTTCAACACACATAAGAATTCGTATTGCGTGTTATAAGTTGTCCTGGTCCTCTTTTAGCCAGTTTTACCAGTACTTAGATCTTAACAGCTTTACGCGATAAATTCATTACTTCCTTTAGAAACTGCATCCTTTTATATTACCCAACCAGGTGAATTATAGGAAAACCATAGTAGCTACTTCCTCTGATAATATATTATTAAAACTAGCATTGCCGGTGGCTCCGCCCGCGTTCAGGTGACTAAAAACCAAATTCTTAGGTTTTACATTGCAGTTTTTGTATTTTTTCTCAGAAATGAGACATTTTACCGCGGTAAAAAGTATCCTATACGTTGACCCGGATAACCAGCTATCATCATGCCAAATTTCATCAAAATCTGTCCAGTGGTTTTCTCGTGATACGGTAACAGACAGACAGACTGACAAAAAATTCTAAAAACTATAGATTCAGCCTCTGTATCGATAAAAATGGTTATTTCAATAAGATTTTCCAAAAAATATCTTATGTACAGATTCGACTTAGTTAGAATTTTATTATTAAGATTTATTAGCTTTTAAGGGAAACAAACAGTACAATAAATAATTACACCGTGGTCCAAAATAACGTTGACAAAATTAAAAAAATAATATTTTAAAAATGGAATGCCTTGCGTTCTCTTTTGTTTTTGTTTATTCTTCCTTCATTCTTTAGCGCCATTTTAATATTGTTTGTTGGCTAAAAAGTTTTAAAATATATTTATTACGTTATGTCAGAGCAGCGTGGAGCCATAATTTCATTGTATGAACGTGGAAAACGGCAGTGTGAGATAGTAAAAATTCTTGGTGTTAGTCGTCAGTTAGTTTCTTCAGCAATTAAACGCTATGTTGAGCTCGGCAACATTGAAGACCGTCCTGGGAGAGGACGCAAGCGGACTGTTCGAACTGCTAGGAACCAACACATTATCAAACAAAGATTAGTCCGAAATCCACATACCAAGGTGAGAAAAATGTCGCGAGACTTGGGGATAAGTCGCTCCACCGTGCAGCGTATAGTGAAATATGATCTCCAATTAATACCATACAAACTCAGAAAAGCGCAATTGCTTACAGAGAAAGACAAAAAAGTTCGCCTTGAGAGATGTCGTTTGCTTAAACAACG